TTCTCTGAAGCCATATTGATTTTCACTGAACAGCCCGTGTTTATTTATGAAGTTGTCAAGTCTGCGAGAGAATAATTTTTCTAATATTTTTGAAAATTGTGGTAGCAGTGATATTGGTCTATAATTTGTAAAGAATTTTCTTTCTCCACTTTTAAAAATTGGAATGACTTTAGCTATTTTCATTTTTGATGGAAAAACACCTGCTTGAAATGACAAGTTGCATATGTATGTAAAAGGTCGCAATACAATTTCTATAATCTGTTTTACGATTGTCATATCAATATTAAAACAGTCAGTTGATTGTTTACTTTTATATGTTTTTACAATATTTAATATTTCATTTTGATTCACTGCAGTAAGAAACATTGTGGAAGAATTTTTTTCTATGTATTTATCTATTTCAAAAGAATTTATTGGATCAGGAATTTGTTTTGCTAAGTTGCTACCGATATTAACAAAATATTCATTAAATTCCTTTGCTATTTGTGCAGTTTCCTCAATAATGGTATTTTTATCTTTCATAAAGTACTCCGGATAATCTACTTTACAAGAGCTATTTCTAATTACCTGATTTAAGATTTTCCACATTTCTTGAGTGTTGCTTTTATTTTGCTCCAATAATGCATTTCTTTGTGTTCTAATAAGCCAAACAGGGCCGCCACCCTTCATCACTGCATTCCTTACCATTCCGGTTTTTACGATCCGTGTCCCCTCAAAGATTCTCGTGGTGTTTGCTGAAACACAGTGGACCAAAAGGAATGAGCCATTGTTAAACAAAGGTAGAACAATTCAACATCAATCATGATGTCATGATTTCATTCAAAAACTAAAGTGCTTGACTGTAAGGCCTCAGTTTGGAGTGCATACACATAAGTCAGAAAGAGACATTAGATATTGATTCCAAGCAATGTTATCCAAATCTACAGTCATCAGACACTGATCTCTCCGAGATATACGGTGTATAACCCTCACTATTTTCTTATTTTCCCCTTCCACACCGTTTGCATCAATCACCTGAGTCGACTTTGTAGTACAAATAATTTAGTGACTTCGTGTGTACAACAAATCATAAATGCCCATCCATGCAGTTTGCACAAACGTGCTGAGACCCATGACACAGCAGATCATTTTGACAACCCTGGTGGTCGCGCATGTGTGCATTACCTCTGAAGAGCATGCTCTGACTGAAATCACTGCGCATGTCATTGGTGCAGACAGCCTGAACCCGAAAAAGGTACAGCACATCCGGTGAGACGTGGGAGATGACAGCCTCCTATGTGACATCAAAACAGACTAAAAGTTAACAGGCCGTGTGGAAACATTTATTTTATTTTTTCACAACATACACACCATCCATTCTAGCCATTGATGACATTTCACCAAGTTTCAATTTACAATTTTTTTTTCCAGTATTCATCCATCCATCCATCTTCTACCGCTTATCCGGGGCCGGGTCGCGGGGGCAGCAGCTTTAGCAGGGAAGCCCAACCTTCCCCCTCCCTAGCCACTTCTTCCAGCTCTCCCCGGGGGATCCCGAGGCCTTCCCAGGCCAGCTGGGTGACATAGTCTCTCCAGCGTGTCCTGGGTCGTCCTCGGGGTCTCCTCCCAGTGGGACATGCCCGGAACACCTCACCAGGGAGGCGTTCAGGAGACATCCGAATCAGATGCCCAAGCCACCTCATCTGGCTCCTCTCGATGTGGAGGAGAAGCGGCTCGACTCTGAGCCCCTCCCGGATGACCGAGCTTCTCACTCTATCTCTAAGGGAGAGCCAGGACACCCTGCGGAGAAAATTCATTTCAGCCGCTTGTATCCGGGATCTCGTTCTTTCGGTCACGACCCATAGCTCGTGACCATAGATGAGGGTTGGAACGTAGATCGACCGGTAAATTGAGAGCTTCGCCCTTTGGCTCAGCTCCTTCTTTACCACGACAGACCGATACAAGGTCCGCATCACAGCAGACGCTGCACCGATCCGCCTGTCGATCTCTCGCTCCCTCCTGCCCTCACTCGTGAACAAGACCCCAAGATACTTAAACTCCTCCACTTGGGGCAAGATCTCCTCCCCGACCCGGAGGGGGCACTCCACCCTTTTCCGACTGAGGACCATTGTTTTTCCAGTAGTAAAAATTTAAATGCTATTACAACAAAATATACTGTAAGATTACATCATTGTCTACATTATTTTTAAATTTCAATACCTTTCTTTTTTTGATCGGTTCTGAGAAATCTGAGGGTTCTACTGTCTCGTACTTTGAGGGATGAGGCATGCAAATCGATTTAAGAAGACTTGTATGACTTGTATGCCCTTCATCGGACAAGGAACCCGTTCCTTGTCCGATGAAGGGCTAGACATTAACTAGTGTATATTAACACTGACTGGACAATATGTAAATTAACTGCAAGATAAGAGAAGAACCACCACCGAAATGGTCCCAAAAAGCTTTGCTATGCTCATCTCGCCTTCCACGGGTCGTTGGAGGGCGAGGTGTTGTTACTTGCAGCCGCAGTGAGCTAGTAACAGCTTCGGCTGGCTACTCGAGCACCTACTTAAAACCTTTGTGGAGTCGCTCCTAAGTCAGTAATCAAAGAAAAATCATATTTCGAGCCTTGTGGAAGTATAGTAGTATACATGTACAGTATTGTAGTGCCTATAAAATGTGTGCTGAGAAAGGCAACATAAACTGGAATATTACCTTTTACCAGAGTGTCATACAAGGACTCACCAAACACTCCAGTTTTGCCCTCATTTCTCTTGGAATGCCAAGAGACTTGCATTCTCTTTAAAACTAATAAATATCTCCTTTGCAGCATACTTTGCTTCCAATTCCCCCCCCGCGATCAAAGTGATGCATGTGCTGCCATTGTGGAAATGAGCCCACATTTTCTTTTTGATAGCGAATGTGGTTAAATATGTTTTCATATCAGCTGTGAGTCAGCATCCACTTCATTCACGCTCCATACATCATAATACTATTATTGCCATCATTGATTCCGTGGGCACAGGTCATTACCTCAAATGGTTGGGCAGCAAAAAAAAAAAAAAGAAACAAAGAACTGATAACCTCAAATAAGGCAATGGCACTACTTTGTCTGCGGTTACTCGCAACGCTCATGTTACATGTTTGCACTGATCTCATTCAGTCGCAAGACAGGTTGAGTGATTCAATGGGTTTTCGTTAAGGTCTGACAGATTAAATGTCTTCAACAGAAATCAGGAAACGTGACAGGTTGTTTTTGGCTGTGGTTGACTGAATGACATCTGGGTTCATACACCACACACCATTCAAAAGTCTTAGTTCACAATTAAATGTAGCTTTTTTTTTTCCTCATGACTACACTGTGGATAAGTCCAAAGTCAGTAAGTGGGGGATAGAGCTGCGAGTCCTGTTAGGTTCCTGATAGACAATGAACAAATGGGCGGGGTCTTTATGGTTTTGGGGGCCTTAGTAAGTGAGTCAAGATCATTGTCTTGTCTCATACGTCAAATCAAGCTTAATTTTTTCACAATGTATGTTTTAATTAAGAGAAAAAAGATCATAAATTAAATGATGTTATCCTACTGTTACATAAAGGAAAAAAAGAGCCCCCGCCCCCCAAAAAACGTCCTGTGTGATGGGTGTGTGGGTAATTAAATTTCTTTCAGATAAAAAAAAAAATACCATGCAATCAAAATGTCTTGTGGGTTTCATCTTAAAAAGACGGAATTTGAAATATGATATGCTTAACTGGACTTTTGCCTGTATTACTTTTCACTGTTATTTCATGTACTAGTATGTAAAACTCATCCGTTGATTGATACAGGGATGATCTATCTCCCTTTTTGAGTATCTTTGATCTATCATTCACTTTCGAAAATTCATGTTTTCCAAAATCACACTTTCCATACAGTATTTATAAAGTACAGAAAACTAGATGGCCACTATGCAATAAAATAATTAGAGTGAGCTTTCCTCCCATTACAGCAATAACAGCTCTCCCATAACTGTTGAAGCTGGCTACCCTTATTCCCACTAGCAAGAGGGCTGTGTGATGGGTGTTGGAAGGAAAACGGGCTGTTTGAAGAGTGAGTCCCTGACATGTCCCAGAAAAAAAAAGGAAAAGGGAACGGAAAGGCAGAAAGAAATGACAATGGGAATGAGACATTTGAGGTAATGATGGGAGGGTGAAACATTAGCCAATCCTTCATCACAGTTAATCCCTCCCTCTGAAAGCTAGGGGGCACTCTGATCTCTTTTTTTGCAGCTCTTTCAGTTTTCCCATTGAGCCACTGGCCCAAGGTCATGCTTTTTGCAGACTGGCAGTGTTGTATCGCCTCCAGTTTGGAATTAGTATTCTGTGACTTGACCAGCAGACTACAATGTTAGGGAATGAAGCATCTCGTCTACTCCGCTGCCATTTCCTCTGGCTCTTTTTGTCTCCTGATGAGAAAATTTGTCATGGAACTCAAGGAGCATCCTGCTTAGTGTGACTGTAATTTACAGATTGAGCTGTTCATTTGTTAAAACGTAAATTTCTCCCTCTTGGTTCCATTATTGTATCATTTCTTTTGTTAATATTATTAAGTTGTACAATGTTTCGACTGACAATGAAATTAATTCATTAACAAAAACATTACTTCATAGCCATTTCTCACACAAGTGGGACAATTTTGACTAAGGTCTGTTCACTTCACCTAATATCAATTAGACGTGCAAATGTATCCTGAGCCCAATAACAAAATTGTAACCACATTTCAAAATCATCTTTATTGGCCAACTATGTACAAACACAAATAATTTATCTCTGGTAGTTTGAGCCACACTAAAATTACAGTTACCAAGCAACGGCAGCTGTGCAAATACAAAGACTCATCAAACAAAAATAAAGTGACCAGTACTGCAGTAATTATGATATAATGACGATTATGATGCACAAAGTCCTTGGGCACCTTAAATTGCCCAGTGGTGCGGCTTTTTGCCGATGTAGGGAATGAAGCATCAAGTCTTGTCTGCCACCATCTCTTACGTCTCTTTTTGTCTCTTGATGCGATTATTTTTTCTTGGAACTCATGGAGCATCATAGAGATTTGTCTACTTATATGGCTGTCTGTTTGTTATATAGTATATGCATCTGTTTATTAACTGTATTTTTTCAATCCATTGCAGTTTATTTTTCCGTCTGTGTGAGTTCGAACTGCTGATGGAAGACAAAGAGGAGTTTCATAGAAAAGACAATTCCAAGCCACATTCTGCAAGTGTTGCAACTTGAATGTGTGAGTAGGCTGCCATGCCAGCATTGCAGACCTGTCTTAAATTTAAAACGTGCCACTTTATGAAATTAAATATGAAGAAATATGACAAAAGAGAATCCCGGACTGTTGAGCAACTGAAGTTGTACATCAAGCAAGAATGGCAAAGAATTCCATCTACGAAGCTTCAACAATTCATTTCCTCAGTTCCCAAACACTTACTGGGTGTTGTTAAAAGGAAAGATGATGTAATATCTTTCCTTAAATATGCTCCTGTCCCAACGTTTTTGGAAAGCGTTGAAGATATACATCTCAAAATGAATGAATTTGGATAAAACACCAAATAACACCACTGCAATTTTTTTCAACAATTTATTTTGAACATGCATAAAAATAAAAGTACAGTATAATAAAGGTTCCAAAAATATTGTAGAATAATTTTCGGCGCCTCATGAGGGGGGTGCAGTGCACCATTGAACTGTGTATTGTGGAAATGAGGTGCTGCTGACCTCGACTTGGGATGTTGTGAATTGGTGGGGAGAATTTGGTCAACAAGGAACACAACTGCACACACCAACTTCCTTGTTTTATGTGAGCAAGACAAGAATTTTTTTTCATGAATTTAATGACATGAACTCGATGTACAGTAGCTCAACCGAGAGTTCAGCAATGAGACAGTGAGTCCGGAGCATATTGGGTTTTTTTTTTTCGACTTCAACACATTTTGATTCAATGTGGTATTTTATCAAATAATGATATTTTTACAACAGTTAAATGTATTATAAAACTTGGCATTTGCCTGCATCAATGCGAGAGCATCCCTGTGTCTTAGTCTGAAGGTTGCTTTTTATGGGAGTGGAACATAACAAATGTGGTTGGCACCTTATATTCCTCTTTGTGCCTGTGCTTGTGTCTTTATAAAGGTGTAGCTCACAGTCTCAGAGTACCAACCATGACTCATAAGCAAGAGTTCAAGGGGAGAGTTTCGGCTGAATCCTTCACTTACTAAGTAGAATCTGACTTGACTTAAATGCATTTTTCAGAT